AGACCTTTGCTATCAGATACTCAAATCAAAAATCAAAATTTTCCCCACCTATGTTATCCGGTTTTCTGGTGGACCCTCTTTCAAAGTACTTTAAAGTATTCTAAAGTACTTTGAAGTATTCTAAATTATTTTAAGGTATTCTATAGTATTTTAAAGTGTTTTAAAGTATTGTAAAGTACTTTAAAATATTCTAAAGTGTTTTAAGGTATTTTAAGATATTTTAAAGTATTCTACAGTACAATAAAATACATTAAAGTACCTAAAGTACAAAAGTATGATGTTGCCCCTTGTAAACAAGACGTTATATATTGAGCAATGGTGTGCTTCATATCTGGCCACCAAAACTTGTTTTTTAATTTTAAATATGTACGTTGTATACCAAAATGCCCTTTTGGAGGATCAGTATGATAGGCTTTAAGAAGAGATGTAATCATTGATGATGGTAAACAAAGTAATTTAGTTTTTGTGGTATGACGAGGATGCATAGCCATTAATTTAAATAATAAACCATCATGTAAAATATATGAATTATTGGTTGAATGTTACTCTATCTCTTTAATTTTACTCTGTATAATTGTATCTTTAATTTGTTCAAATTTAGTTTGCTCAATATCCAAATCATTACAAGTAAAGTGACAGGAGGAAGATTGAAATAATTTACCACTAACTTGTCCCTTAGCTAAAGATGTTCTGTCGTTTATATTATTTTTCAAAGGGTTAATGTATGACGATTCTTGTTGTAATATTTGTTGCTTTTTTGATCGTGTAACAACAGCATTAACAAAAAGAGACTTATTATCAGGAACATACACCCAATTCAATGGTTTCCCTTCAAATAACATACTTATACCATAATCTTCATTAAATATTTCTCCACCATATTGAATAGGATGACGTGATAAATAATCAGCTAAGCAATTATTTTGACCTTTAATATGAATAACTTTTTCAATATTATATTCTTGTAATAATATGGATATACGATCTACTCGTCGATTCTTCACAGATAAATTCATCATATTGCATAAAAGGACAATGCTCAGTATAAATTATAATAGATCTACCAAGGGTAGTTCCACCAGGAATCTCCCACGTTTACAGCGACCTTCAGCCAGCAAGCTGAAACTTTCAGCAATTGAAGATCTCAACACTCTAAGATCTTTGATGAAAAAATTTCACGGACTTTCATTCGGCATCATAGTTTTTTTAAACCACAATATGTCATCTTTCGACCTATAAGAACTATACATAGCATTTTTCATCATTTTGTGGGATTGACTTTTTTTCGTAACTATAATCCATAATTGGAAATTTATATATACATGTATAGTACTAAGTTAGTAGTTTAGGTACATGATTCTATCGGCTCATTCATATTACTGGTACATAAATTTACCTTATACGACATTATACAAAAAATGCAAAAAATGCTAAAATAGCCAATTTTGGGATATACCGTTATCCATCATAATATGATAATTATCTATTTATTTGAGTCATATTAAATATGTTCCAGGCAAAATTAAACTTTAGGCAAAATTAAACTTAGGTA